CGCGGGGGGGGGCGGGAGCGGCATCTGGGGCGGGCGAATCTCACGTTGCAGGCGGTGCTGAGGCTGCGCGTAGAGGGGATGGACCGACGGTTGCATGCTGTGTTTTGGCGCGTGCACATAGTTCTGCAAGCAACAAGGTCGTTGATGACATCCCTTTGGAGGAACCCTGTGCCGTGGCTCGCAGGAGAGGTTTGGGGGACGAGCTGGAGAAGGGCGATGGCCCCGCAGCCGCCCGCCTCCGGCAGAGCTGTGAACCACGCGCACACGGCCTCTGCCGCCCCGGGAGCGGGGCAGGAGCAAGCTGATAACATTTGAATCCTCCTGCTAAAACTGAGGGCAGGGGAGAAGCTGTCTGGACAGGGCTGCTAAGGCGTTCTCTCCCCGTGGTGTTTCGCAGCCAGCCCCGCGGAGGCCCAGTCGTCCCCCTCGCCGCCGCCCAGCCCCTCGGAGCAAGACAAGGGCTCCCAGGAGCCCCTCACCCTCGCCCTGGAGAGCAGCAAGGAAAATCAGCAACCCGAGAGCCGGTCAGCTTCTGTGCTGAGTGGGAAGATCTACCCCAACAGCCAAGGGCCTGTGGGCATCCAGGAGATAGTTGCTATGTCCCCCGAGCTGGACACCTACTCCATCACCAAGAAGGTCAAGGAGGTCTTGACGGACAACAACCTAGGTGCGAACCGCCTCGGACGTGGCACTGCCTGGCTGCCGGGCTTTGCCAGGCGGCACTGGGCTCCCAGTCCTGCCCGCCCCGACGGGGAGCGGCGCCGGGTGGCTCCTGGGGTGCCACCTCCTCTGCCTTTTGGGAGAGCCGGCCCCATGGCATTCAGGGGGAACCCGGCCATGGGCTTTTTAGGAACAAGGCTGGCCTGGAAAGTGGGCGCATCTCCACCGCGGGGGAAGATGGGGATCCAGAGCTCCAGCCCTGCTGCTCTGGGCCTGCTCTAACCATCTTTGCTTCTCCTCTGCCAGGCCAGCGGCTGTTCGGGGAGAGCATCCTGGGCCTGACGCAGGGCTCGGTGTCCGATCTCCTCTCCAGGCCCAAACCGTGGCACAAGCTGAGCCTGAAGGGGAGGGAGCCCTTCGTCCGCATGCAGCTCTGGCTCAACGACCCCCACAATGTCGAGAAGCTCCGCGACATGAAAAAGCTGGAGAAGAAAGGTGAGCGGCAGGACCACGAAACATGCGTGGCTGGGGAGTTTGGGGTGCTGCAGGCTGAATCCACGACCACCGATCCGCCGCAGCCCTCGCGGAGCAGCCGGGGCTGGCACGGGCGGCCAGGAGGCAGCGGGGCTGGCCTAGCTGTCCATCCCAGGAGCGCTGCACCTTCTCCTCTCCCGCAGCCTACCTGAAGCGTCGCTACGGGCTGATCAGCGCTGGCTCGGACAGCGAGTCCCCCAGTGCCCGCTCGGAGTGCACCAGCCCCAGCCTCCAGCCGCAGGACCTCAGCCTGCTGCAGATCAAGAAGCCCCGGGTGGTCCTGGCACCAGAGGAGAAGGAAGCCTTGAAGAAGGCCTACCAGCTGGAGCCCTACCCGTCCCAGCAGACCATCGAGCTGCTCTCCTTCCAGCTCAACCTCAAGACCAACACAGTCATCAACTGGTTCCACAACTACAGGTATGGGGTGTGCTCGGGGGGCCTGGCAGCACCCACAAGACCAGCTCCCCCCAGCCATCTGTGGAGACGATGGGGCGAGGGGATGCACGGAGTGCTGTGCCGTGCCATCGCTGCAGCATTACCAGGGCTGTAGCACCTTTGCAGGCCCCCTGTCGCCCTCACCCAGCCGTGTGTCCCAGCACTGGGGACCCAGAACCACAGTTGGTCTTTAGAGGTTCACCAGGCACAGGAGATGGGCCAAAACTCGGCATGAGACTTAGATACCCATAGGAGATATCCTACTGCTCGAGCGCGTCAGGCTGGCATCGAAAGTGGTGGCCACGCTGGTGGTCCACCTGCTCAGCCGTGTGGCATCCGTCCACCACAGAGCAGCAGCCCGGTGGCGTGTGGTTCCCAAGGCGGAGGGGACCGGGGACCGACCCCACGGCAGCCCGGCCTCGGGGAGCGGGCCCAGACCCTTTCTCGGACCGCATCGCAGGTGTCCACCTGGCTCCCGCGTCCTCCTGCCTCGTCCCAGAGGCGTTTCTGGTCTGACGCGGGTCGGGGCGAGGCGCCCCCCGAGGTTGGCCACTGCCCAGCCTTGGGCTGCTTTACTGCTGCCCGTAGGCAAGCAGCACGGTTAGAGGGGTCGTGCCCCCTCCAGCTGTATAAAACAGTATAAAAAGGCACCTAACTGCTCGTGTCGAGTCCGTTTAGCCTCAGCCTATGTCAGACTCTCCTGAGGCAGCCCTGAGTAGATGGTAAATATTTATCGGAGCCAGCCCAGGTTTTTCTCATGCAGCAACTGCTTGTGGGCAAGACTCAGGGGAGCGTAGGGGAGACCTCAGAAAATTGGACTTTTCTGGTGAAAAGTTGACTGATGTTTTTAAATCCCAATTTTTTCGCAACCTTTCCCTGCGCATCGTTGCAGGAAAGCCACTCCTGTTCTCAGTAAACGCAACAGCCCTAAAATAAGTCTTTGAAAAAACAAAAAATTTCAATTCTGTAAAAAACAAACAAGCAAACAAAAACGTAGCAGAAAAACATTTGCAAAACTGGGTCAGTTTGGAAGGCTGCAAATTGGAAAGAGCTCAAAGCGTTGCGGAATCGTTTCCTCATTTTCAGGCCCGGGCTGTCTCTGCTGTCATGTGGCAGCGCGGCGGCACTGTCAAAGGGAGCAGGGCTGGGCGCTGGAGCCGGGGGAGGCGCTCGGCGGACTCGCTGCAAAACCTGCTTCACTTTAACTGAGCCTTTCCGAACAGCGCCGTCCCCCGCCCACAACGCTTTAAAGAGGGACAAGTTGAGGCTTTGAGGCTTGAAGGCATCTCCTTGTTGTGTTTGTCAAAGCAAAATGCTCGTTTCTGGCTTGGAGAATGATTTATTTTTTTTTCCAAGAGCTGGCTTTCCGCGGGGGGCCGGGGGGGG